TTCAGTCGCTTAGTCGTGTCTGACTCTGCAACCCCATGAACTACAGCACGCCAGACTTCCCTGTCCATCACCAACTCCCGGAGTCCACCCAAACCCATGTCCATCAAGTCGGTAATGCCATCCAACCATCTCATCCTCTGTCGTCCCCTTCTCCTCCTGCCCTCAATCTTTCCCAGCATCAGGGTATTTTCAAATGAGTCAGCTCTTCCCATCAGGTGGCCAAAGTATTNTTCTCATGATGTATTCTGCATATAAGTTAAATAAGCAGGGTGACAATATATAGCCTTGATGTACTCCTTTTCCTATTTGGAACCAGTCTGTTGTTCCATGTCCAGTTCTAAATGTTGCTTCCTGACCTGCATATAGGTTTCTCAAGGGGCAGGTCAGGTGGTCTGTTATTCCCATCTCTTTCAGAATTTTCCACAGTTTATTATGAACCACACAATCAAAGGCTTTGGCATAGCCAATAATGTCTATGTCCATGTCCCAGAGTTCGCTCAAATTTACATCCACTGAGTCAGTGGTGCTACCTAACCATCTCATCCTCTGCCACTCCCTTCTCCTTCTGCCTTCAATCTTGCCAAGCATCAGGGTCTTTTCCATTGAATCAGCTCTTTGCTTCAGGAGGCCAAAGTACTGGAACTTCAGCTTCAGCATAAATCCTCCCAATGAATATTCAAGGCTGATTTCCTTTAGGATTGACTGGTTTGATCTCCCTGCAGTCCAAGGGACTTTCAAGAGTCTTCTCCAACACCACAATCTGAAAGCAATCCAAATGTCCATCAACAGATGAATGAATAAACATTGTACATTTGTGCAATAAAATACTATACACTAATAAAAAGAAATATCAATATAGAGACAAAATTATACAAAAGAATTAAATTCAAATTAATTAAATAAAATTAGTACAAAAGAATTAATTTCATAAATATCATGTTGAGGGAAAGAAATTAGACACAAAAAAGTACATACTACATGGTTCCATTTATATCAGGTTTTAGAACTGGCAAGACTAATTTACAGCAAAAGATATCAGAACAGTGTTTGCTTCTGGGTGGGTCGTTTTGAGTGGGAAGTAGTTTGAAGGAACTTCCTGGGATGACAAGAATGTTTTGTTTTACCTGGGGTCAAACAAATTTATCAACATTTATGAAAATGTACACTTAAAAATCTGTATTTAAAAAACAGAATAGATAAACTAAGAAGCATCATTAACAAGACTGCTGAAAGTTGCTGCTTTGGCTAGTTTGTGATATTGTGATTTATAAAAACAAATATATATATACACATGATTTTCTTCCAGTTTCCCAAAACCCTTGGGATTTCCTAAGTGATAAGAGTGATAATCAAATCCCGCTGACCTTCAAAGTCAGATTCACTGGGGATTCCCAGTCTCTTTCCCAGATCCCCAGGTTGGGAAGTCTGTTGTGGGGCCTAGAACTTTCCCAGCAGTGCAAGAACCTCTTTGGTACAATTGTTCTCCAGTTTGTGGATCATCTGCCTGGCGGCTCTGTGGTAGGGCTAATGACGCCCTCCCCCAAGAGGAGTTATGCCAGAACACCACACCTCCCAGGATTGTTGCTGTCAGTGTCTCTGTCCCCACAGCAGGCCACTGCTGACCCATGCCTGTGCAGGAGACCCTCAAACACTCACAGGCAGGTCTGGTTCAATTTCTCGTGGGGGTCACCTCTCCTTTCCCTGGATCCTGGTGTGCACAAGGTTTTGTTTTTGCCTCCAAGAGTCTCTGGCAGGTATGAGGGTTGATTTTAAGAGGACTGTGCCCCTCCCACAGTCTCATTTTGGCTTCTCCTTTGTCCTTGGATGTGGAGTGTCTTTTTTTCAGTGGGTTCCAACATCCTCCTGTCAATCGTTGTGTTGCAGGGAGGAAGCCAATTCTGACTCCATGTTGGAAATTGTTTCTTTGACTTGCTTTTCACTGCTTTTATTATTATAGTTCATACACAATGGCTTGCCTGGAGGCCCCTGCCTCTCTGCTTGACTGTAAACTAAAGTTCAGCTCACGGAGACAGTTTGTCCCTGACCACCTGTGAATACAGGAAATTAACACACCCCTTCCAAAGGCTGGACATTCCCTTGGAGATGTTTTGGAAGACTGAAGACCGTTTCACTTTACTTCCCCCACTGCCTCTCCCTCTCTATTTTGCCTTTTCACTCTAGTTCCTCACTGCTTCTTTCTCTCTGATCTATAAAAGAACCTGGTATCCAGACCCCAGTAAGATAGTTATTCTGAGGTGCTAGCCTGCCATCTTCTCAGTCTGCCAGCTCCCCGACTAAAGTCATTTTCCTTGCCTCAGCACCTCCTCGCTCAGATTCACTGGCCTGTCATGCAGCAAGCAAAGTGAGCTTGGACTCAGTAACAGCTGTTCAGTATCTAGTTGTGATTTTGGTGTTCTTGCAGAGAAGATGAGCACACATCCTTCTACTCCTCATACTGTGAACAGTGACTCCAGCCATGAAATTAAAAGTGGTGTTGCAGAAGACCTTTCAGAGTCCCTTGGACTGCAAAGAGATCCAACCAGTCAATCCTAAAGGAAATCAACCCTGAATATTCATTGGAAGGACTGATGTTAAAGCTGAAGTTCCAATACTTTGGCCACCTGGTGTGAAGAACCGACTCATTGGAAAAAACCATGATACTGGGAAAGATTGAAGGTAGGAGGAGAAGGGGATGACAGAGGATGAAATGGTTGGATGGCATCACTGACTCAACGGACATGAGTTTGAGCAAACTTCGGGAGATAGTGAAGGACAGGGGAGCCTGGTGTGCTGCAGTCCATGGGGTGGAAAAGAGTCAGACATGACTGAGTGACTGAACAGCAATAACAACAAAGAGTGATAAATGTGTCTTTTGATATTCATAACACCCCCTTTTCAACCACACCAGACTTTATGTTCTGGTGCTCCTCTGGTGGTTCAGATGATAAAGAATCTGCCTGCAATGTGGGAGACCCAGGTTTGATCCCTGGGTTGGGAAGATCCCCTAGAGAAGGAAATGTCTACCCACTCCAGTATTCTTGCCTGGAAAATCCCATGGACAGAGTAGCCTGGTGGGCTACAGTCCATGGGGTTGTAAAGAGTCAGACACAACTGAGCAACAGCAGCAGACCTTATGTTAATGAGGTAATTTCTGGAAAACACCTAAGGATGGGGGCTAACTGCCAGAGAACAAAATGCTACTAAAGGGTCGAAAGTAGCCCCATCCCATTCTCAGGGGAGGGAAGAGGGGCTGGAGATTGAGTTCAGTCACCAATAACTAATGATTCAATCAATTATGCCTATGTAATAAAATCTCAAAATGACTAGGGTTCAGAGAGTGAATCTGTGGAGGTGCTGGAAAAGTGGTCCCCAGAGACAGCAAGAAAGCTCTGCATCCTTTCCCCATACCTCACCCTATGAATCTCTCCCATCGAGCTGTTTCTGATTAATACCCTTTTATAATAAACCGGTTAGTAAGTAAAATGGCTTTCCCAAATTCTTTGAGCTGCTCTAGCAAATTAATCAAACTGGAGGAGGGGGCAAAGAAACTTCTGATTTATAGCCAATATGTTAGAGCCACAAATAACAACCTAAACTTGAGATTAGTGTCTGAATTGGGGGTGGGGCTTGGGGTGTGAGACAATGTTGTGGGACTGAAGCCTTAATTTGTGGCATCTGATGCCATCTCCTGGTAAGTTCAGTTCAGTTCAGTCAGTCATGTCTGACTCTTTGTAACTGAACTGCAGCACTCCAGGCTTCCCTATGCATCATCAACTCCTGGAGCTTGCTCAAAGCCAGATCTATCGAGTCGGTGATGCCATCCAGCCATCTCATCCTCTGTCGTCCCCTTCTCCTCCTGTCTTGAATCTTTCCCAGCATCAGGGTCTTTTCCAA